ATAGACTAATATGGAAAGATTTTCAAATTATATTTTAAATTCTTACATAGAAAATTATTAATAATAATGAAATGTTTCTAAAAATTACTAAAGACAAAAAACTACGTGCCATTTTTTGTTTTTGTTTTTATTTTTGAGTTTTTCATATTTAGTGATTTTTTGTTTCAGATTTCTTCACAAGTTTTACTTTTTAGGTGCATTTAGAAGATTAGGCGTATCTAATTTTTTTAAATTTTTTTTATTGAAATAAGAAAAAAATTACTAAACATAAAAAATAAAAAAACTCAAAAAATGTATTTGAGTTTGAAATATTATGATTTTGCCAATTTTTTTATAGCCAAATTAAAATTATACTTATTAATTAACTTAGTTATAGTTTCTTTATAAAATAAATAAATATATAAGTAAATCACATGTATGAATTTAGCAAGTACATGTGTAATGAGATTACTGATTATCTTAACATTAATTCTTTGAAGTGCAAATGTTACAAAATTAATATTTTGGTTCCTTTTAGTTTTTTTTAATCAATTTTTTTATAGAAATTTTGTGCTTTTGAACTAAAAAATATTTTTTCAAATAATTTATTTTTAACGTTCTCCTTATTTACTTTTCCAAAACATTTATAAGAAAATGAACAATAAGAAAATAAATCTGTGTGTGTTTTTTAGAGATTAAACTCAAAAAAAAAAAACTCAAACATTCGTTAAAAAGTCAAACTCATTTTCAATTGAATTTTGCTAATCGTCCAAATTAAAATCATTATTAAAAATGACAAATTCATTTAGGAATTTTTTAAGTTCGGGTTTAAGATGGCTATATTAATTTTGATATTGTATTGCGGTTGAGTTAACACATAATCCTTTTATATAGTTCAACTCAATTGTGACCCTAGCCCGGTTGATACTCCTATATCAAATATACTTCGTAGACAATTCACCTAATCAATATAGATCCTTAACGAAATTTGATATTTTTTTAACAATTAAATTTTAATAGTAGTTTAAAATTATTAAACTATTTTTTTAATAGAAATTACTTTATAGAGTTCAAATAATATGATGAATTATTTTTATTTTATAATATTTTAATTGTGACACGGAAGTAACATCAAACCGGGGGAGTTAATTGGGACACGGAACTAATTGTTAAAATTAAAATCCTAGGGTTTAAATTGAAAAATACACCAAAATCTAGTTTTTTATTTTTATTTTTTTTAATTTGCCCTAAAATTTTAAATTTTGATTTATATCAGCACAAAAAAAAAATTATTATTATTAATTGGACATTCTGTTAATTGGGACACGGAACTAATTGTTAAAATTAAAATCCTAGGGTTTAAATTGAAAAATACACCAAAATCTAGTTTATTATTTTTATTTTTTTTAATTTGCCCTAAAATTTTAAATTTTGATTTATATCAGCACAAAAAAAAAATTTATTATTATTAATTGGACATTCTTTGTTAACATAATTGACAACAAAAATATAATTGGATATTAGTGAAGTGTGATTTATAAAAGAAAAAATATATATAAATGACTTATGAACATAAAATAAGAATAGTAATAAATAAAAGAATATAAGTAACTCTAAACAATATATAAATATAACACATACTATAGGTAACAAATAGAATAGATCAATATTTGATAAAATTCAATTTATAAACTATTTTTCAAATTTTGTAATATTTATAATATAAATAATTTAAAGGGTACAAACTACTGAAATTTTGATGGTGAGAATTACTGCAATTTAAAATTATCTTACTAATTGCTAGTTTAGTATACATAGTTTTTAAAAATTTAAGGGGTGCGACATGTCTACCTACACCCCCTAAATCCATTCTTACTTTGTAGGGTGTGTATTATAGTATTTATCCTAAAAGCAATCATAAAAGGGAAATGCTATGGTGTACACTTTGTCACAAATTTGTAATTTTATTACAAAATTTTATAACTTTAATCACAAAATATATAATCTTGTCACAAATTAACGTAACAAAAAATATCGTAATCAAGTCACAAACTTTTGCAACATCAATCACAAAATTTTGAACATTTTGTTACACCAATTTATAACGAGGTTATGCATTTTATAGTGATATTACGAAATTTTATGATAAAATTACATATTTTGTGATATAATATATCCCTAAATGGGTGCACACTATAAGATTTCGCATCATGAAATTTTAGATTTTTGTGTTTAACTCAAAGGCTTGATTTGGGGACTCCCCAAATAAGTTGCTTATTAGTTTATTAGTTTATTTTATCACATTATATTCTTATTTTTTTGCATATCGCTACAAGAAATTAAGATTTTAGAGACAAATATTTAGAGACAAAAATAATTTGTCTGCAAAAATTATACTTTTAAGGACAAAATGAAGGAATTTTAAAATATATATATTTAATAAAGTTATTACGTTTTTTTAGACAAATTTATTTGGTTGTAAAAAGATTAATCACTTTTACCTACAATATTAGTTTGTCCCTAATAAACCCAAACCATATATCATTTTATTTTATATATTGATTTTTGAATTCAATAGTCGGGACTATCTACAAAAAAAACACAAAAACATCCAGGTTCTATTTCATCGCTTACGCTCACTCTCTCTCTATCAAATCCCTAATTTTTTTTTCTCTCGCAAATGCAAGTTGATTGCTTATGATCTTGGCAACAATTTCATCCTCGAGGAGTCTCATAGCATCTCTCTCCACTATGATTTCAGCATCCAAGTTCGATCGATTAATCAATTTCAAGGGTTGTTTAGGGTGTCCTAAATAAGTGCATTTTTTTTTCTTTTTGGACTAAAAAGTTTATGGAAAAAATATGGATGTTTCGGTTAACTTTTTAATTTTTTATGAAAAAATGTGTATTAAAAAATTGTATAAATAAATGTATAGAAGAAGTTAGTGATGTAGCTCGTATAGTCTGGCAGAGCAGTGGGCGGATTAGGAGATAGGAAATGATTGCCTTCTTTTCGGGCTTGAATTTGACGGTGTTGTTTGGCCCTTAGGGGCTCGCCACGGGTTTCGTTTTGCTAATCAAAACCGTTCAATGTGTAGAACTCATCGAGTATTATATGTTTGTAAACAAATAACGGTGATTGGATATCGATAGCTATTTGATCGTGTTAGTTTTTTGTCAACCGTTAACTATAACACCATCTATTTTTTATAAAAAATTAATTTGATCACATAGTTAGCGATATCCGATCAACGTGATTTTTTACAAACATATTGTATTCGACGAGTTCTACACATTGAACGGTTCAGATTATTAAAACGATACCCGTGATGGGCCCCCATTGGCCCAACATTACCCCATAATTTAATGAATATATATACCTATTTTCCCCCCTTTAACATCCCACTTTCATCAGTTTAGTACCAATTATGTAACTATCGATATCCGATTAATGTGATTTTTATAAGCATATAGTACTCAACGAATTCTACACATTGAACTGTTCCGATTATCGAAACGGGTCCCGTGGTGAACCCTCACGGGCCCAACAACACCCTCCAGCCTGATCTGAGAGCTGAGGGAAGCTAGGCCCTATTAATAAATGTATTAACATATGTGATGATATTATTATTAATCTCATCTATTATATAAATTACAAATATTCAAAATTTTTAAAATTAGGTCACATTTTCTATTAATACACTAATTAATATATATATATATATATATAAGGTTATTCATACTGAAAACAACAAACACATGCTTTCCCATGAATTTTTAGTCATTTATGATTTAAATTCATTTCGACTTAAATTCACACTATAAAACTTGCTTGGGAATATGATGGTTAGGCATTTTTGGCCAAAACATTCAAAAAAAAATAAAATAGACTATTTAGTCCAATAAAACAAAACATCACATCTAACTTATAATCATTATATTACTTCTTTTACAAAAAATCAAAAAAGCTAAAAAAACTATTCTTAAATGAGACTTTTTAGCCCTAGACTAAAAAAGTCAAAAGACCAACCCACTTTTCAAACGAATCCATAGTCCCATTTGAAAAGTTGGTTATTGTAATTCATTTTTAATTTTTTTACTACTTTAATTTAATTAAGAAAGTTATGTTTTGAAATATAGTGGACTTTTTTTTTTAATGTTAATTTGATGATTGTGAAAGAAAAATCAAAATGATTATGAATTTAATGTGTCATTTTATTTTATTGATTACTGTAACCCATTTTATTTTTATTGATTATTTAACTCAAATAATCCTTTCCAAACAAGGCCAATAAATATTAACCACAAAAATATATTACTTAAAAAAATCATTTTTCTCGCACTATATCATTTTTGTAATGAAAAAGTCTAAAAACACATAAAATTTTAAATACATAACGCATAGATCATAAATGTTCTATATGCGAATTTTGTGTTTGAAATTTTCTATGCATGTAACATAATTGAATAGTAATCAGTTTGTTTAGTGTGGATTTTCAGGATTTATTTTTCAGAAAGTTGAAATTTTTTATTTTCACCGATTTTTTTAATATTTTAAGCAATTTTTTTTCTTCTAATTTTTAGATACACCTAACATAAATACACTTAAAAAGAATAATATATGTGGAAATACCAAAAATAAAAAAATATACGAGAATTCAGTACATTTTTTATATTCTAGTGTATTTATTAATTTTTAAAAATATTTTGTACAAATATTTTACTTTTTAGATATATCTAAGTAAGATACATCTAAAAAAGTAAAAAAAATGTTTAAAATTTTAAAAATATTCACTAAAAATAAAAAAACACGAAAAATATAAATAAAAAAAATCAATTTCTAGAAAATTAAAACCAAACATACTGAATAGTCTTTCAATTCACTAACTTTTTTTAGCAAATATGTAAAGAGATTGGAAAATAAAATCAAATATCATCGCTCCAAAATTGTAAGCTCATGTTCAAAAAATAAATTGATTCTATTTAAAATTGCAATTCAGTGGGCCGGTCCGAGCCCAAACCAATTGAGAAGTGTAGAAGGAGAGGATCCGGACTCGAATATAACGGTGCTTGAATCGTTGGTCACATCTTCTTCGCACCCCTTCCTCCACTCTCCGCACGGTCGCGTCGTCGGCTCACAGTTGGCGGCGAACTCACCTGTTTTCGGAGACATATCTTCTCTATTCGTACAGAAAATGCAAACAGTACTCTCTCTCTCTCTCTACAGACATGCGTGTGTATATGCATCTACATCTACGTTTGTGCCTATATTGTTGCAGATTTATTTTTTTTGATATTTTGATTATTTGGTGCGAATGTCTTTGAATTTTCAGCTCCTAATAGCAACTGAAGAATCCCATTTTCTTCTTCGACTCTTCAAAGGCAGCATCCTAACCCTAGACTCCATCAAGGACTGTATCGCTCGGTCCTTTGCTGACATTTTCTGTGGCAAATCCAACATTGATTTTTTCGATCAAAGGTATCTAATTTTATTGATTTTTTTTTAAAAATTTAAATTTGGGTAAAAATGGCTCATTCTTGATTTAAACTTATACCAAATTGAGTTTTACCCATGTTTTTTTCACCCAAATCTGTATCAAATTTAAATTTTGAGTGCTTCCTGCTTATAGCTGAGTTTGTCTATTGGAGCACTTTCTATCAAAAAAATCTTTTATGCCGTGATTAGTTTTGGTTAAGGGATTTGGGAAGGAAAAAGGAAAATGGAGGTAAAATGTAAATAAAATACATTTCACTAGTTTCACACACCTTTTCATTTCCCTTTCCAAATCCAAATCGCTCAACCAAACTTTCCAAATCGTTCAACCAGACACAGCGTTACTCAGAAGGGCTGGAGTTGGCCTTACATTTCTTTTAATAATTAACTCTTACGTATATTTGTGTCATCTCACAAATTATATGTTTGTATCTAGGTATGTACTTGTAAATTTTCTTGTTTGTTTTTTGTTTTTCCTTTTTACAATGAAATCTTTAGCAGTTTGCACTACAACCCACATTGTGAATATGTATAGGTGCAATGGAGTACTGCCTTGTGCTCTTCAAGATATCATTGAGACTGTTGGTGATCAATGCCAGCAACAGAATGAAGATTGGTTCTCACAAAGAAAGGATTGCAATGATAAAAGAGATTTGCAGGCAGTTTTCAATGTATTGGACACAATGCTGAAAGATAGTTTGGAGCGTTTAAAGACGATGAGGTCAGGATTTTGATTTTAGATCATTTTTGAAGTGGCTCATTGGAAAGTTATACATTATAGTCCTTCCCATTACAAGATGAAAATATTACGGAAGCTCTTAATTTTAATAATTCCATTTGTGCTAATTTTCAATTGATATGTTTTAAAATATTTATATCCATTATTGAGATTGTTGTTGTTTGAACTTGCACAAGTGTCCATGTATTTGAAGTTATTGTTGCTTAATAGTGTAGTTCGATTAGGATGTGAAGTTGTTGCTTAAATTGCCTAGTTTGGTTAGAAGGTAATTTTGAGTTTGTGGCCTGCAACATGAATAGATTGCATAGATTGCACTTCAGTTTTTGCTTTTGAAGCTTTGATAGGGATGAGAATTTTTTTTCCTGACATCATGTTTTGATGCACCCCTGGTGTTTCACAATTCAGAGCCAATTTATGGAAACTACAATAGTAAAATTCATTGCAGAGCTCACTCTCAGGTGCTATTCTGTCATGTCTTAAATGCGTAAAGTTCTGAATCTTCTGATGTATTTTTGAATCAACCGACTAAATTTGTATAGGATAAAACTACATGTTGAAGCTTGATATGTTCCATTTTATGGTTACTCTCGTGCCTTTTTCTTTTGTCTAATCAGTTCCATTTTTAGTTGTTTTATACTTTTGGTTTTCTTATTTGCAAGCATGGACACTTAGAGGTTCTTCACCCTTGTCATTTGGTGCGATTACGTTATGCCTATACATTGTAGGAAATTATTTAGTTCGTAAATTTACAATTGCTCTAAACTAGATAGAGTGTTTCTAAATTCTTGAATGTCATCTCGTAATAGTTTCTATTAACTTTGTAGGGAAGGCATATCATGGGCACACATAGGCCTATGCAGTCGCACTTTTGAAGGCAGTTACACTCAGCATGTAGCCATTATTAGGGCTTTGTGTTTGGAAGGTAAGTTGGGAGCATCCCTATGGCTTAGGAAGAAGATGATTCGGAATGGTGTAATTCCAGATGTGCTTACACACAATTATCTTCTTAATGGACTTTGTAAAACTGGTGAATTGGAGAAGGCAAATTGGCTTGTTAGTGAGATGTTATATTGTGGTCCTAGTCCCAACTGTGCTACCTATAACACTTTAATGAAGGGTTATTGCCTAATTAATAATGTGGACAGAGCTCTCGATGTTTTCTCTACAATGGCGAATTCTGGTGTTACGCCAAATAGAGTTTCCTGTAACATTTTAGTACATGCACTTTGCAAGAAAGGACTATTGGAGGATGCTAGGAAGCTTCTTAAAGAAATATTAGATGAAAATTTTGACAAGGGAAGATCAAATTTAATCACTTCTACAATACTCATGGATGGTCACTTCAAGAATGGAGATACGGTGCAGGCTCTTGCTTTTTGGGATGAGATGCTCCAAAGGGGTACCCAAATGGATGTTATTTCCTATAATGTTATTATTTATGGATTTTGTTCGAGCCGAGACATGACAGTTTCATATAGATACTTATCTGAAATGTTTAAGAGTGGCCTTATTCCCGATGTTTTCACTTACAATACACTTATAAGTGCTCTTTGTAAGGAAGGAAGGATTGATGAGGCTTGTTATATCTACAGTGTTATGTCAAGAATGGGGGTGGCTCCTGATCATATCTCATACAAAATGCTCATTCAAGGCCTTTGTATTCAGGGGCATGTAATTGAGGCTAATGAGTTTCTTGTTTCCATGTTAGAGAATTCGATTGTACCTGAGCCTATCATCTGGAATTCTATAATTGATGGCTATGGTAGAAGTGGAGATATTCAAAATGCTCTCTCCATTAGAGATCAAATGGTGGCATTTGGTGTCTTGCCCAATGTAGACACAAATTTTAAAACATGAAGTGTTTCAACACATTTCAAAATTTATGTTACAAATGTCCACTGTTTAGTTTTTGGACTAAACAGTGTTGATTATTTGAATAGCAGGTTCTTATTTCCGATCTGTATTTCAGATCGTTAATTACACATTTTATACAAATGAAACCTCCGATTAATGAAGAACAAAATAAACAACAAAAGACAATTTAAAAAAAAGAAATATTTTATTAAGATTGTTATGGGTTTTGAACCCTCGAATACAAAATACAGTTTGGGTTTGGAACCCTTTACCTATTCATCGCCATTAGCGTAGGCTCTTGAGTTCTCTAAGCTTCTCTTCTTCTTTCTTGTAACGATTTGTTTAGCTCTCAATTTCTTTCTCTCTCTCTCTTCTTTTCCACTTATGATTTTTCTGATCCCCCCGTCTTGTGTGATGGTCCTCATATTTATGGAGGGCCATCAGGTGATAGGAACGCTTCATACCACCACTGGTCAGATCAGAGTAACAAGGACCATTGCCCCCTGGGGCTAGTGTACTTTGTATGCCTACAGATGTTCCCACAACAGGTTGTGTCATTTGTTTGGGTGCACTTCCTGGTCCTGTCATTTGGGCCTGCAGCTGTTGCATTTGCTCCAACATAGCAGCCATTTCCCATTCTTTTCTCTCAAGTTGTTCTCGTAGGGTCACCACTTTTTCCTTGAGACCTTGGTCTTGTTGGACCTGCGAATTTTCACCTTCTTTCTCAACCTCAGTCATCATAACCGCGACTTTGTTGATATCTTTCAATTCATTCTTTCCAATATTCGTTGAAACAAACGAGATAGAATCATCTTGTT